ATTATTAAGAAGTAGAAATGTGTATGGTATTGTGCGAGATATATATAGCTATGTATAGCTATATATATATCCCGTTAGTTCGCTATTTCCGACGGTACACGGGTAGGTGGCGCTGAAACTAGTCCCCTCTTTTTAGCAAGAGTGACGTCACGTTCGGAAACAACACTCGCGTACACACGAGCGTCATTCTATCTTTGTTTTATATATAATGAGCAACAAAGATAAAATATACACGAGTGACGTTTCCGAACGCAGCCTGAGTTACGACCCCCTGCCGCGGAGTGGAAGGGAATGAACATTTTCGTCTTGTAAAGGTTTTCGAGTTAGAGAGGTTCGAGTTACCGAGGTTTGGATTGCATCAGCCATATCGGTTGGATGTGCGTAGTTACGCTGTGAATATTTTTGGACAATTGTCGGTGTTTTACACCACTTTCTTTATTATTATCTTTAATTTAAACAAATATACAACTCCGTGGCTTGGCGTCAGAAACCCAATCCACGGTTTTAAACCTGTTATTAAAAAGACATAGAATGGCGTATGGACTAGCTTTATAGGTCCACTGAAAAATAAATGTATATAAAAGTGCCGATTAATCTTTTATTTTTAGGAATGCCTGTGTCGAAGTAAATCGTAGTCCTTGTAAGTTCGCTGATCAGAGTTTATCCAAAGTCCACTACTCCTATTAATAATTATATATATATATATATTTTTTGAAAAGATGATTACGTATAAGACAGTTCATCCAGTATTGTTTTCTGTCAATACATTTATCTGTAATGCATACATTGTAACATTGAAGAAGTGACAGGTCGGGACTTTTGCTGGTCCTTTGACGATGATGACAATCTCAACAATAACAAAACATAGACTTGATGTATCACGGTAAGACCTTGCTTGCTCTCATGTTGTTAGCGGTTTGAGCTCGACTTATTATATATGAAGTTGCAGAACCTATAACAAAATAATATTCGATTAAGTATATATTCTACTGTATGATTTCTATGATATGTCCGTGAGTGTTCCTCTGTTTGAATACGTTGGTGGTCCTGAAAAGGACCGTTTTAATATGGAATGGTTTTAATAACCTGTCCATAATACTTACCGTGCAACAACTGACTCTAATCTACATGCAGTTGCAGCAGCCAATGGAAGCAGTTAGGTTTGTGAAAAGTTCTGGCCTACCTCTCAGTTTTTCCCATTCGTTCCTTGCGTGCGCAACCAGAGCTTCTCGTGTTCTTTCATTGCCAGGAATCCACGATTTGTCAATTACTTCCCAAATATTTTCTATCAAATTGAGATCCGGGGATTTCGCTGGCCACTCAAGAACCTCAATTTCTGGATGTTGGACGAACCATTCTTGAACTAAGTGAGAAGTGTGGACTGCAGAATTGTCCTGAACTAATCGAAATGTCGGCCAAGTGTCTTTAGGATATATTCTGCGAACGCTGGGGAGTAAAACGTTCTCCAGAATATCCACATACTCGGCGGCATTCATATGGGGCGATATTTCGATTAATTCTCCTGGACAATGTGAGCTGATCCACCCCCACATAGCACAAATGATGCGCCCACTTTGCTCGCTAGGAAGCACGTAGTGTGGATCGAGTCGACTATTTGGTGGTCTCCATACACGTGGACATCGATCATACGCAGAACAAAACACCTTTTCATCCGTCCAGATAGTACGGTCCCACTCATCCAGTGTAGCCGTCTGTAACTGATGCAATGCGAAGGCAATGCGATTATCCATATGCCCGTTATTCATGGCAATTTTGCGTGAAGCACGATACGAATGGATATTCGCCTCGTGCAAACGCCTTCGTGCTGTGGATGCAGATATCTGCAAATCCAAGGCATTTACAGACTGCATCACCGAAAGAAAAGGATCTGTATCTACTTGTCGAACTAAGGCCTTATCTTGTTCTGCGGTTGTAGATCGCGGTCCACTATTGTTTTGTCTCTTATCTTTCAAACCCTTTTCCCCTTCGGTTCGATAGCGATCAATCCATTTATACACATTTTGTTTTGAGCATTGGATGCGCTGTGCTATGTCCTTTGTTGAGAGGCCAGCTTCCCACATTCCAATAATGCGACCACGTTTTACTTCGCTTAGAGCCATATTGAATAACAATATGAACATGTGTACAATGACATGTGTACACAGCGCGTCAGGAATTCAAAGAATAGGCGCGAAAATCGAAGGGCAAGTGGGGCGGTTGCTCGTAGCGCCAGCGAGCGCCGTACAAATTAAATAGTAGCAATTAGTTGTTCTACGTCGTGTCGTCCGTGCTATGAAAACACCGACGTGGTGGGGATACGCACACAAGCGAGAACCGTCGTCATACATCAACATAATAAGTCTCTTGCACAATGGACGGAATAGCGATAGCGATAGAAACAACAAAAGTTTTAAGCCCCTTGTACAATGGAAGGAATAGCGATAGCGATAGAAATAACACAGTTTTTAACACAGAATTCCAACTCGTCGGAAATTTTATCGCTATTGCTTATTCCGATTTTCTGATCTGCATTGATACATGTGTATTTTTGTATGTTAGATTCCGCTGTTCCTACCTTTATTTTTAAATATAAACTCTTTAAAACTTTTGTTATTTCTATCGCTATCGCTATTCCGTCCATTGTGCAAGAGGCTTTAAAGAGTTTATATTTAAAAATAAAGGTAGGAACAGCGGAATCTAACATACAAAACTACACATGTATCAATGCAGATCAGAAAATCGGAATAAGCAATAGCGATAAAATTTCCGACGAGTTGGAATTCAGTATTAAAAACTGTGTTATTTCTATCGCTATCGCTTTCATTCCATTGTGCAAGGGGCTATATGTCTGCACACTTCTCATAGACTTATATAATAGACGGAACATTTATATGACGAAGTTGAGAACAACATTAAAGGACAGAGATAGTGCTGGAGTAGTTGTCTCTCTCTCTTACAATAAGATGATGGGGAACCAATCATCTCACAAGTTTATGCTATCACTTTTCACTATCACTTTCTCTCAACTGACTCTCGAACTCTATCTTCGTTGCTCTCAGCCTGCCGCGGCCACCAATCAACTCACTGCTAGAAAAGAAGAGAACTACTCCACGACTATTTCTGTCTCTTTTAACGAAAACTTCAGCTCCTCTTACACGAATGTTCCGTCTATTATATAAGCTATGACATTTCCACGAGCGCACACGGACAACGGTCTCGCTTGTGTGCGTATCCCCACCACGTCGGTGCTTTCATAGCACGAAATAGAACCATGTCCACAAACTTAGCACGGAATAGAACCATGTCCACGAAAAGCTATGACAGAAACTCTTATGGCCGTGGCCAGGGTTGGGTTCACGTATTATACATGAAATATTGTACATTGTATTTTATCAAAACAAAAGTTTGTATAATAACAATTATACAACTAAACAACAACTATACAGTTTATAATTTGTATAGTTGTTGTTTAGTTGCATAATTGTTAGCTGCATTAGATTATGTGAGCATCAAAGTTGGGCATGTATTATACCGTATAATACGTGCCCAACTTTGATGCTTACATAATCTAATGCAGCTAACAATTATGCAACTAAACAACAACTATACAAATTATAAACTGTATAGTTGTTGTTTAGTTGTATAACTTTTATTATACAAACATTTGTTTTGATAAAATACAATGTACAATATCTCATGTATAATACGTGAACCCAACCCTGGCCGTGGCCGCTCTCAGGCTTCTCTCTGCAGAAACTTTTATGGCCGCGGCTTCTTTCAGACTTCTCTCTGTTATTGGCCATTTACTAAATATCTAACGTTAACAACTAACATGTATATGTATATATGTGTGTAATAAATAAAATTATAATGTCTCCGGTAATGGAAGAAACGTATATTGTAAAAGTCTCGTTTGAAAAATTATATATTATTGTATATAGCCACTAAATAAATACAATCACAATTTTACTAAAACGGAATTATTCTGATTGGTTGATTTCTTCACATATACAAGAGCGGAGTGAAAACGAATTATAATGAGAAGGACAACCAATCAGAATAATTTTGTTTCGTAAAATTATGTACCATGTGACCGAAAGAGCATCAAAAATCGGAGTAGCCTGTTTATTTGTGATCGAATTTAACTTCAAACAAAAAAGCTCACCATAAACCTTTTCCGTTGCGATTTCTTGGTCTGCATCATAGACATATAAGAAATAGACTGCGCGTCCCGTATCTTTTCCGTGCAGAAAGAATGGTCAAACTTCGGACGAGGATAGATGCTTTCACCCGAGTCTCTATCCTTGTTTAGTGACGCGGTGATTGGCGGACAAGAAAAGTAGTAGGAATGAGAAATAGCGTAGTGGGGCAATAGAGGAACATCGAGCGATGAAGGGGCGACAGTAGGCGATTGACAGCATAGACATTCTATGGAGTTGTCTTCCGAGTGGGGAGTCCCCACTCCAGGTGCTGAAAGACAGAGACAGAGACTCGGGTGAAAGNATCTGTCTCACTCCGAAGTTTGACTCACTTCCTCTCTCACACGCGCAGTCTATTTCTTATACGTCTATGGTCTGCATGTGATCGCACCCTAAGAGTGTCAAAAAGCCTGGCTGGTCTGGAGCACGGTAAATATTAAGGGATAAAAATCCTTTAATGATTTTAATCAGAGATTAAACTTATATCAATTAAATATAATCTCAAAGTGGAACCCCAATTGAGACATGTCGAAAATAATCGAGTCGCTGCAGAACTTGAGCGTTGAGAACGACAAGAAATCAAACAAACAAGTAAATGGAAAAACCTGCAGGAAAAAAGAGCTGATACTGTCGATGGAAGAATCGGTGTCGTCCGAGGAAAATTATATTCTCTCTGTCTGTGGAACGCAAAGGCAACTTTGAAATTTCTTATGGAACATCTCACATCAAATCTGTACAAAAACAAATCCTAAGTACACGTATATCTTTTGTGTTGATACTTTTGTACTTTGTATATTGATAAACAATAATGAAACAAATCGCTCTTTTGAGAATGCCAGTAAGTTTGAATATACATGTGTTCATTAAGTTACGCAGGATTTGATGTGAAGCGAATTAATATGTTTACATTTGTATACATATATATATATATATATATTGATTTTATTTTATTACATCAAAATTTCATTTGTTTCATATAGCGAGTCAGAGTTTAGAATCGGAGCAGCCTTGTCAGATTATTCTTGTGTGGTATATTCTGTTGGTCAATTTTTAAATCGAATACTTACACTAAACCAGAGTCAAGCACCAGTTGTGGGAATTAAATTTAGTTCTACTTCCAGAAATATATTATATATTGCTACCAATGATGGACATATTACAGCATGTGACATGCGCGCTAAGGGAAAAGTTGTGGCAGAATTTGAAGGTATTGATTTCAACAACAATGCTAAATTTTTTACGTGATTAAAAATATATTAAAAACAGTATTGTGTCACATTTTTATGTGATAGAACATCCAAATATTGTAATTTGTCTTCACACGTTTTGTCTTAGATAGTACAGAAGGTGGAAAGACAAAACCTTTGGCTAGCTTTGACATTAGCTCTGATGAAAAGCTCATAGCTGGTGGCACGGAGCACATAGGTGGTGATGCATTTATCCTGTTCTGGGACATAAGACATACCAATTCAAAGATAAAAAGTAAAAATAATCTTCTTGGTGGGTACTGGGAATCCCACATGGACGACATCACTTATCTAACTTTTCATCCTACCAAACGTGATGTCCTCGCATCTGGCAGTACAGATGGTCTGATAAATGTATTTGATCTCACCCAATCCTCAGAAGATTTAGCCTTAACGTACTCATTAAATACAGAGTCATCTGTGGTGAGACAACTGTCTTGTATAGTTTTATATCAAGTAATGTAGGAAGGAATTTCTTTTTTTTTTTATTAATCATGACCCGCAGGATAGGATAGGTTGGTTAACGGATCAATCTTTATGGTGTACAACGCATACACACGCACTGCAATTATGGAATTGCGAGGATGCCAGTGCGTACGCGACATTTGAACGTGATAATTTATCTTTGTCACAGGTTTGTATACACATCATTTGTATAAAATGTTTTAAAATGTTTTTTTATACAAGGGTTTTTCGTCATTCTTGTTTTTTCCTCTCTTTTACATACCTTTCAAAATTTATTTATTTTGTGTAGAACGATGATTCTGATAGTTGTTACTTAGTAAGGGTCCACAATACAAGTGTCTTTGGACAACCTTTTCTGCTAGCCGGTTGTAGCACGCTTAAAGGGTATGGATTTTAATTTTTTTTTAATAATCTATTTTTATTTTAAGACGCACCAAACAATAATCTCTTAAATTACTTTGAACTAGTATGTTGACATGATTAGAAATAAATTGTAAACATACGTATGTATTTTTTTAAATATAATATGTAAATATAATATTTTTGATATAATATAATATATGTAAAAGATGATATTGTGTTTTTAGGGAGAAGTTAAGATGCTTAAGCATTACGAATAATCAGTTGGAAACGTGTTACGAAATCGTGGGAAACAAACAAATAGTACGTGATAGTTGGTTGCATGAAAAGGTAAGGTCACAATAATTCAAAGAAAGTCTCATTTAAAATACTGACGATTTAATATATTGAAATATCTCTAGAGTGGTCGTTTAGTGACGGTCGGCGAAGGAGGTATTATTAATATTTGGCTACAAGCGGAATTAACGCCAACGGAACAAAACTTGAATCATGAATTGTTAACTAAAATCGGCACCGGAAAAGATCGCGACCGACATCACAGAATTAAACCTTATTAAAAAAAAAAAAAAAAAAAAAACCGAAATTGTAATTGTAATTTAATTTAAGAGATTTGATAATGAAAGAATTTTTGTAAGAAATGCATGTACATTAGAATTAAGACAGAAAACGTCAATCGAAGAGAGTCATAATTGTATATTTTCTTCATATTTTTCTTTTAATACAATAACAGTTTGTATGTACATTTATAATAAATAAGTATTGTTTGTTTATGTGATTATTCAACGACGAGTCAATATATCGATTTAAAAAAATGCGTTTTACGGGTTTATACTTCCGTGATAGATACTAAGGAATGTAAACATCTCATTGTAACCGCAAATACTCATAGAAACACATAGACGTGGAACAAAAGACAAGATTTTGAGTCGCGCGTGCGACTCGCAAGAAAACTCTTTTCTAATTCTACATATTAGCAAGATTCACTTCGGGTAAACAAAGTATATACTTGACAATAAAGATTTCCGCGATCGAGAACATTATTAATGAATAACATTCCTGGCGGAAAAGATAATAACTAAAAAATATAGTTCAATGATAATATAACAAGCAGTAAGTAGTCTTATAGTCAAAAAATACTCAGCGTTTTTTCGAAAGTCATTCGAGGAGACTTTCATT